GGAATTCATTTTTTTATTTAGAGCAGTTGTGAGATATGTCAGAATTTCAAAAATTTGCTGCGACGTTAATAAAAGAAGCCTAGAGAGAACTCCCTTCTTATTTGACGAAGTATCGCTGTTGATAGTTGTGGTAAGTGATGCAAACTTTGAATTATGAAACTATTTTGCTTTTCACGATAAATTTGGCTCCATTTATAATCTATAAATGTTACACTGTTGTATAGTTTCTTCAAATTACACTGAGTTTAATCTTTAATATATATTATAGAAGCATTTGTTAGTTTTTTAGAGCAATCTACGATTACAGATACAATATATTGATAGACCTCTTGATATTTGTGATCTAGAACTTTTGAATTATTGTTTAATTTGACCTGCTTCTTGATGTATTTATAAGTTTTCTATTTCTTTAGTTTGCCAATTTTACCCCCCCCCCCCCCCCCCCCCCCATAAACTTAGCTCTTAGCTTGGTTCATGCATCTATATAATATATATGCTACACATAAGTTCCATAAACTTCTAGATATGCTTTGTGATGTAATAGTGAACGTCTAAATACAGTTGTTTTCAATAGTCTTCAGTTGTCGAAAATCTGTCCAAAAAGTTTATGGAGAATTTGAATTGAATCTCTTTTCACAATTTGGTCATAACCATTCATTAAGTGATGTCCAACTAGCTAGGTTTCTGCTCTCGCTTTGTCGATTTTCGCTGACGAGGTCATACAGTAGGTAACCTGTGCTGCAGTCTCCTCACGGCCTCTTCAAAGTTGTCACAATAGCATTTTGCTTCCTAGTTGCGTTAGCCATTTCTTTCTCTGTTCTTTATTTTCACAGCAAAGTGTTAGGTCTGTGCAGAGCTCACTGTTAAGGTATGATTTATAGCTGCATATATTTTTTATAGATGATCGAAACAGAATGTTTCCGAGAACTCAACGTGATGGAACAAAATGGTGAATTAGTGTGGAATTTGCGTAATGACTCGATTAGGGGTGAAAATAGCAAAAGTGAATCTAATAACAAATTTGGATTTCTCGCACGACTGTTCAAGCGAAAAGTATGCATCTATTTCCCTTTTGTCTGTCATTTCCAGTCTTTTTTTTTCTTCAATCTTCTCGTTATTTCTGTGTACTGTATTTCAATTCTATTTTCGAACATTTTTAATTTTTATAAATTTTCCAAAGTTTTACCATTCAATCCAAATAATCAAAAGTAAACGATTAAAGCTAATGAAGTGCATCTTGCAGACCGAATTTTAATGTCATCTTTATCTATACAAAGTTTCAATGACAACAAATTCATTAGTTATTTTCTCATTTGGTTGCTTTCTCGCTATGCATCTGTTCATTAGAAAATACCAAAGTTCAAGATGTAACAAATTCAGAAATAGTTATGATAAGAATTAAAATTAGCAGACGCACCATATGCTTTTATATTCTCGAATAGAAGAAAACTGCCGTGCTTATGAAAATATCTTTGGGATATATAGGGAGGGACCCGAACGGAGAAGCACACTCTAGACAGAGTTGGAAATCTGAATTTACCCCACACCACGCTTGTTTTACATCATCACCAATCATTGCCAACGTACTCTTTGTAATCGCTCTGCTATGCTGGTCCTGCTGGGAGGTGATGACACTGTGGGTGGTCTATTAGTAAGGAAACCGTATGTGAAGAAATCGCATGGGAGGAAGCTGCATGTGAGGAAACCGCATGTGGAGAAACTGTACGGGAGGAAATCGCATACTGCAGCAACCATACACTGTGACACGTTTGCAAAACATTGTGGGTGGTCCGCCGGACTTCGACGAATAGAAAGCCATATGTGTGGCCGGTTGGTAATAAAGCTGCATGCAGGACGAATTTTCTGTTGTGGTGTCATGGAGGATGAATCGACGACTCAAAGATCCAAGTGATTTGTCGAGGCGCGCATTCAAATGGATGCTTCTGGGGAAAAAACCTTTAGATTTTTCTTTTGCAAGTTCGTTGCCGGAATGTAGACGAGTTTGCTATAATGCCATGACAGAATACTGAACAGAATTATTACCTATTGCGTGGAACTTTGGATAAAATTGCCGTCAAGCTCATTTAATTTATATGTTAATAAAAGTTTGGTATGCTGCGTTTGATTTACTATATTACGCTTCCCACCTGTTAATCCAAGCAGTATTGTAGGTGGTCAGTTGTTAATGAATGAACTGAGCTAAGCTTTATTGAGGTGAGAAGCGAAAAGATAAACAAAATTGATACAACTAATTCAAGAAGTGGTCAAATTAAGACTCTCTATTGAGTTGTTATATACAGCATTAACTGCTACTTTAAATTCCAGTGTTTCTGATTCATACGAAGTGAACTAATTATTTTTACCCTTTTTTGCAGTAAAAATGACAGCTATTTGGATATAATTTTTTTTTTCTTACGGGATGAAATGTCGGAGATCGGTGTTTTTTGGGGCTTACGGCGTAGCGCTCGAATTTACATTCCAACAGTGAGATGAAATAAACAAATAATTCAGCTGTGAAAGCGATCGACTACCTCTATTCGCTTTCTTCGCATTATTTGCGGAATTTTTCCTCCATCACATCCTACTCAATTGTCACAAATATGTCCCATTTAACTCTTTTTTCCTTTTGCTTAAAGGAACAGTGAGTTATATTCTTCAACTACCTATCGACGTTTCAAACATGCCATAGCTGAGAAACTTGTCAAGCAATTGCTGTTGTAGAAAAATTTCTGCATGAGGTCCTCTAAATAATACGATCCGTTGTTACTTTCATCACATCCTGCTCAAATTAGATGCATGAATATTCCGAAGATTGTTCTATTATTCTTCCATTACCAACATTTGTCTTGAAAATCTTAAAACCAGGGATGAAATTATTGAGTTACTAGGTCGTATTTTGTGCTTTCGTGGATCAAGCCTACCTAAAGCCAAGGTGAATAATAATTCAAGTCCAGAAATGTAATTTGCAAAAATATGAATTACACCATGAAGGTAATCTTCATAAGCAATGGTATATTTTTGTTTTACAATATTTCATACCGCTCAACCTGGCAGCTGTTCATTATTCAAGGATTTCTTGTAGTATGTAGCATATATCCTTTTTTCTTTTTTCTTTATTATCAATATCTCAGGTTTCAATCAGTACTTATGCATTCATTTCTAGATAGAAGGTAGTGACCGCTTAATGACAACAAACATGAGTTTCCTGTTTTGCTATTAGTCAGGTGGTCTGATCACTCCAAAAAACTGCCACTGAATTCATGCACCTTTTTCGGAAGGTCCATAAGAAGAACTTCAAATTTAAAAAGTGGACAACTTAACATGGTTTTTCGGAAAACATTTAGTTAATAATGCAGTGGAATAACAAATCACTGCTAAAGTTACCCCCGTTTACCGCTCTGGTGTTCCTGAGTAAAAAAAACGGTGGCATATAGTGGAACATCGGAAGAGATAACTTTTTCATAAAGCTACGAATTATCCATTTTTGAATTAAAGTTCTACCGAACAATTAGATCTGCTTATTTTTTATAAGCAAAGATATCAAGAGATATCTGGAGTTAGCAATAATTGATGACGACAACGAGTATCTTCCGTCTCAATTTTATAATTTCAGCTTTCCTACAAAACGAAGAAAAATGTTGACATAGCAACAACCATCACACAGGATTACATATTTATACGCTCGCATACCCAAAAAAAAAAAAATAACGGTTGTAGAATGGCGAGAATGCAGCAGTAAAATAACATGTTCCAGAACCATCTATAAACTTCAGTTATGCACTGCTTTGAAAGGATACAGATGGCATTTGCAACCCTTGTCAAGTAGTCTTCCTTTCAATAACAAATGTTTTCAAATAAATAAAGATCACTACAGTGAAAACCATTGGCATATACTTCAACTTTCCGGAAAGACTATCGACTGGCACCAACTTTTCTCGTTATTCTTCCAACCTAATTTCTTAACCAATTCATTACCCTCATACTAGTAAATTTCCTTCCAAAAGCAAATAGACTTGAGGAAACACGTAGGTAACAACCGTCTCAGCAAACATGATCTGTTCGATGAATCGCTTTATACCACCGCACTGGAAAGGCATATTAAACTGCCAATTTTGCTATGGAAAGCAAAAAGCAAATGATCCCGATGAAACATGAAAAAGATGCATATATTATGGGAGGTGTGTTCAAATGTAGCCTCCATATAAAATGGCTTCAGACTTCGATTTACTTTAGGTATAATTTCTTGCGTGAGCAAAATATACTTTTACTCTTCATAATAGATCACCTGACATGACACTTTTTTCAAGTAACTCTAAAGCTGCACAACTTCCTTTTCTTTTCTTTTTTTTTACAATACAAAGCATATTGTGGTGTAAAAAGAAAACCTACCCGATCCTAAAGTGTAACCTCGAAAGTGGGAAAACACGGTTTCTCAATTTTCTCATGAAAAATTTTACAAAATGATGAATTAACTATTCATTTCCCAAGCTATGTGAACTCTCGTACACACTGAAATCGAAAGAGATAAAGTACATAAAAGTTTGAGAGCATCATCGAGTAAATATCGATACTTAAGTTAAAAACAAGTCTGCGCAAAACCGTTCTCTATACATTAGACGACAAGGACAAAGTCATAGCAAAATTGATTAATTAAACGCATATAATCATTTCGATACACAAAAGTAAAGACAACAGGTATAGAAGATTTGAAGCTGATGACGATTAGATGCAATGATTTGGAAGCTGAGACTGCACCACACTATAAAATTTTGCCCTTGTCTCTCTGAAATACACGTCTACGGCAGCTACTGTGATCAGATCATACTGGATCACTGTTAACCGCTAGAACTAAATTTCTAAAAGGTAACAAATTTTATGTAATATGCTTTCAAACAAAAACACATCAAATTGGCCAAGCTGCAACGATCCATCATGAGAATCGACTCCTAGCAAGAAAATAGCACTGAGCACATTCAACGATGAAAGGCACTGTGATGACATTAAAATTCGGTCTGCAAGATGCACTTCATTAGCTTTAATCGTTTACTTTTGATTATTTGGATTGAATGGTAAAACTTTGGAAAATTTATAAAAATTAAAAATGTTCGAAAATAGAATTGAAATACAGTACACAGAAATAACGAGAAGATTGAAGAAAAAAAAAGACTGGAAATGACAGACAAAAGGGAAATAGATGCATACTTTTCGCTTGAACAGTCGTGCGAGAAATCCAAATTTGTTATTAGATTCACTTTTGCTATTTTCACCCCTAATCGAGTCATTACGCAAATTCCACACTAATTCACCATTTTGTTCCATCACGTTGAGTTCTCGGAAACATTCTGTTTCGATCATCTATAAAAAATATATGCAGCTATAAATCATACCTTAACAGTGAGCTCTGCACAGACCTAACACTTTGCTGTGAAAATAAAGAACAGAGAAAGAAATGGCTAACGCAACTAGGAAGCAAAATGCTATTGTGACAACTTTGAAGAGGCCGTGAGGAGACTGCAGCACAGGTTACCTACTGTATGACCTCGTCAGCGAAAATCGACAAAGCGAGAGCAGAAACCTAGCTAGTTGGACATCACTTAATGAATGGTTATGACCAAATTGTGAAAAGAGATTCAATTCAAATTCTCCATAAACTTTTTGGACAGATTTTCGACAACTGAAGACTATTGAAAACAACTGTATTTAGACGTTCACTATTACATCACAAAGCATATCTAGAAGTTTATGGAACTTATGTGTAGCATATATATTATATAGATGCATGAACCAAGCTAAGAGCTAAGTTTATGGGGGGGGGGGGGGTAAAATTGGCAAACTAAAGAAATAGAAAACTTATAAATACATCAAGAAGCAGGTCAAATTAAACAATAATTCAAAAGTTCTAGATCACAAATATCAAGAGGTCTATCAATATATTGTATCTGTAATCGTAGATTGCTCTAAAAAACTAACAAATGCTTCTATAATATATATTAAAGATTAAACTCAGTGTAATTTGAAGAAACTATACAACAGTGTAACATTTATAGATTATAAATGGAGCCAAATTTATCGTGAAAAGCAAAATAGTTTCATAATTCAAAGTTTGCATCACTTACCACAACTATCAACAGCGATACTTCGTCAAATAAGAAGGGAGTTCTCTCTAGGCTTCTTTTATTAACGTCGCAGCAAATTTTTGAAATTCTGACATATCTCACAACTGCTCTAAATAAAAAAATGAATTCCAAAAAAAAAAAAAAAAAAAAAAAGGAAAAAAAACAACAACTATACCTCTTTCTGCCATGGTATTGAAACAGATCCGGTGCTGAATTTCCCATAAAACTGATTATCCGTAGCGTCTAATCTTACACCTTTAACAGTGCTGAATTGCTCGATATCAAGCACATCTTTGGCATATACTGCTCTAGGATCAGGACAAAACGGTGGTGTTAACTAAAAATATGAAATAAAAAGTTAGATTTACATGTGATTTGTAAATAACATCATCTAAACAATCGACAATTTGTGGTACTTGTATATATTCTATTTAAAAAAAAAAACTATCATTTTTCATTGGGATACATCATAATTTGATATTATAATAGCAGCTAATATCGATGACCAAGCCAAACTAAATGCTTATATGATTCATGAACTTCACATAGGTTACTAACGGTTTTTGCCACAACGATGACCATACTGATAGGACAAATGAAATGAATCTAACAGGGAAGAAGATAAGGAAGCAGTTGAGCAAAAGTTGGTAAGTAAAATACAAATGGCAATGGCAAAAGACTTCATAAATTATCCAAATAATCTGACCATCAGTATCAAAATTAGGTCACGACCAGCTGCCCATTTCATGCATTTATCTATGGATGGAGAAGCGAAAGATACATATGTTCAACTTCAATTTAAAAGGTTTAAAGTGAGTGAAGTTGTATTAAAATTCGTCGCTTCTTTCATTTGATTTTATCTTTCGTTTGAATAATTCCTTCAAAAATTTGCTTTTATGTACCTTCCCGGCTTCCATTTTCTTCCAAGGTACCGCTTCTCTACCCGTATTCATATCTCCCTGTGAAAAAAAAGGATGGCTTTTCAACTCTTCAGCACCTTCTTCCGGTTTACCAACTCTGCGACATCCAAGCCGAAATCCTGGTTCTTTGTGTAGAAGACCTCTGGAAAAAAATGTTACTCTACCATTAAAATTTTTTTGGTCTATATATATATTCATATTCTGCACATCTAAATTTACTTCATCTATTCGTCCATCAAACTTCAGCTACCATTTATACACAATGAGACGATTGTTACCTGCATATAGTCCTGACAGATTCACTAAATTTATCTGAATACTTTTCCTGATCTTCATGAACTCGCCGTTCCACTTCTTCACGTTTCACTTTTTCTTTCCGTTGCCGAAAAGGTGCCTGAAATAATTGGTTCAAATAATAACTATCACAGAAAATAATTCCAAAACTAACACTATGAAATGTCAGCTATTTTGGAATAGAAGCAAACAACAGCAATATCGACCTTTCCTTCGATCATTTCATATATTAGACAACCCAATCCCCACCAATCGACACTATATGAATAACGTTCATTTTTGATAACTTCTGGCGCTGAAATATGCAAAAAAAGTAACGCTGCGAAAACAAATCTGAAACTGAAAGAATGACCTGTCAGCCATGTCAAGTTATCATCACATCAGATAATGAGTGTTACTTTTATAACTGCAATTAACAAAATTGCAATAAATATTGTCAGACACATAAAACAATATGCATATGAATGCAGTTTCAAAATGATTGTCCCTTTTCAATTTAAGATTTTGAAGAGTACAAGCTTTCATACAATTGTACCTTATAATGATATATCAAATTGCAATAAAATAATTTCAAAACAGACTCACCCATATAACCAACCGTGCCAACACGTCCTTTTATAGGTTCATTATCTCTTAGCTCAACTGCAAGTCCTAGGTCAGATATTCGAACATGTCCTAAAACATAACTGAAATATCATTCCCTCAAAGAAAGCATGAGCAACTTAGGGAATGAATATTAAAAGACAACAATAGCTCGCTTCCAGCCAGCTTACGCCTAATCAGTTTACAATATTACTAAATGACCTCTAATTTGATGGTTCGAATTTTCCACTTCTGCTTACTTCATTTTTAAACGAAAAAATCAATATTCCCCACTCAAGACAAAACAGGGAATTAAAACAACCATAATCGTCGAGAAGGATATTTTCTGGTTTTAGATCCCTGTAAATGATATGCTCCTTGTGTAAATGCTGCAAGCCGAGAGTAATTTCAGCAGCATAAAACTGCACACGTTTTTCATCAAATCCACCAGGTATTAAGTTGTACAAGTGAAATTTCAAATCACCTGAAAAAAAAAAAAAAAAAAAACTAAATCGACTAAGAACCAATACTTTATTCTACTCTTATTTTTTGCTTCGAAGAATGATAAGATAAATTTAATGCGATGCAAATAACTGCAAGCCAAAACGAACCTCCATTCATAAGCGTTAAAACTAAGCATAGAGAATCCTTTGTTTCATATGCGTATGCAAGACTAACCTGAAAGGTAACACTCAAATTATACCCTGTAACAAAATTTATTCATGATCCGTAACTACCACACTATCCAGTCCTTCAATGAATGCGTATCTCGGTAGTGTGGCTGCATATCAATATCTATGGAAACAGCTCATCCCAACAACACCCAATTCATCCTTTGCAATCAAACTCTCTTGCTTAGGCAATTAATCAATTAATAAGATTGCCAGAAAAAATTCGAAAATTTACAAGCTAGTTTTTAAATCCTAAATAATACTCTTAATAATGATTCTGTTCAGATATATGAATCTTCGTCTAACCCATCGCTTCTCATTTAGATGACTTTTAACTGCTTCTTTTCCAGTTCTCCTGGATAAAATAGTAAGAAAAACAACACAAAAATATGCATACAAATCACATGAAAAACTGAACATGAACAGTAATTTGTATCCTCGAAGAAACTTTGAAACTTGAAGAAATTGAGCAAAGTTCACTCTTACAACAAAGAAGGCATCGCTGAAAACGACGAACCACAAACGGAGAATTGATTTTCTGCAGGATTTGCTTTTCATTTAGACTGAGAGTCTCCGCATGTCTCTTTTTCACCCTCTTCTTTTCCAAGTTTGAAACTTGAAGAAACTGAGCAAAGTTCACTTTTTCAAGAAAGTACGCATCGCTGAAAACGACGAACCACAAACGGAGAATTGATTTTCTGCAGGATTTGCTTTTCATTTAGACTGAGAGTCTCCGCATGTCTCTTTTTCACCCTCTTCTTTTCCAATTTTTTCAAAGCGTACATTTTCCCAGAAGCTCTCACCTGAAAAAATCATGATTTCTCGAGATGAAAGGAAATGTCTAAATATTATACCCTTCAAATCATTGAGTTTTACCTTCCGCAGTTATTTGAAAAACCCAACCAATTAAACTTATTTTGCCAATAAAATTACAACCTGTTGCAACAAATAACTCCACGGATAAAGTAGGTTACTTAATTTCAATTAGAAAGAAAATGCTTCTGAAGATGTTGCTAGTAAAGAATAAAGTGCATAAAAAACATTCTAATCGAAGAAAAATTTCATGAAACGATTTCGCAACGACTTTTCAAGCTGTTAGGATAAGACTTTACAGTGACTTTTCTTAAATCAGTTTTTTGCATTTGTTACTACACAAACATGTTTTTAAATTAGCAGCGTGTTGTTTTTAGTTTCTTGCTTAAATGCAATTTTGCCTTAATAAAGCAGCTATATCAACAACTCTCTTTATTAAAACTTTTCAAAATGCAGTTTTCTCATTTTTCTCTTAATACTATGCTGACTTCGGTTAACATTTTTTAAGGTAGAAACCTGCAACCCTCTGTCATGAAGCATCCATATGAAATCCTATGACAAAACAGCTTAGTATATTTTAATACCAAAGAAAGTTCATGATTTTGAAGAAATATGCAAAAGCCAAAAACACTAGCAACTGAAAGACCGAAAGGAGTATAGGAAAGTCAAACAGTGCCGAACCATCCAAAAGTGAAGCCAAAAGTAATGTATTTACGGAAAAACATGTCAGCTCAAAAAAAAAAAAAAAAAAAAAGAAAATCGGCAATTGTACTTCAGCAGATGATACTCGTTCAAAAAAGTGCAAAATATACTGATCGAAAAGATTTCTGATCGGAGGAATAGTGACTGAAAAAAAAAAACGAATATATGAAAACTATACTTGACAAGCGCAAACTTCTCCGAAGCCTCCTTTTCCAAGTACCCGGTATAGACGAAATGTGTGCTTATCCACAGGCCTTTTTTCCAACCATTTCCACTGCAAATAGCGGTGAAAATAATGTGTTTCCAAAAATTTTTGAAACGAACGATCAGCAAGGAATGACTGTACACTTCTGAAATATACCATTTTGTTTTCATACAAAACTCAGTAGGGAGAATAATATTCAATGATCATAACTGAATTCAGAGAGAACACGGAAATCGATGGATGGATACTTTAACTGACGACTTTAAACAAGGAAATGAGTCTGCAGACTACTTCAAAATCATAGCTAACCATAGGTTTTGTACCCAGAAAGCACCTAAACCACGAAAAGTTGACAAAAACAAAGCTTGAGCACAACTAGGAAAGCAAAAACTTATTTGAAAGAATTTAAATATAGGATGATATGTAGAAAACAAAAATATAAACTGCAACTTGAAATTTTATAGTTCTTAGAACAACAAATATGATAAATAGCTTCAATTACTTTGCCCTTCTTAAGCAAAATAAAACTAACTTGTAAGCTTCGAAAAATATGCCACTAGACGGTTCAGATTCATGCGACGCATCACTGGCAATGGAAGTGAATTTTTCTATAAAATCTTCCGATAAGAAGCTGCACCATAACGAATCACTTGACGTCTATAAAAAAGAGAAAATGTCACATGGACAATTTAAAATATTATCACCACAATAAAATGACCCATTCAGATTAAAAACTCAAAGAAAAAACGGTCATTCAAATTAGCAACAGTAACTTTGAAATCTTGATATCCTAGCATAAGAATTTCAGATCTCTCCAATCCTGCTTTTCATTTTAAATATTCGTAACATAATTCAGAGAAATTTATGAAGAAAAGTGAAGGTGAAAAATAACATGAAAGTTACAAAACAAAACAATCAAACAAAGATAAAACTTAAACAAATACAGCATAAGAATATAATAAGAGATACATACACAGGGAGCGTCATTATCTACTGATAAAAGCGAAGCTATTGATTTGGCCAATGACCGGCGACTTTCGCCATCATCATCAGATGTTTCGTATTCTTCAACTTTACATAAGAACGTCCACGCCCTTGCATACCGTTCATCTGTATTGCAGAACTGCTCAAAAAGCAATTTACCGATTGGTTGTTTTTCGACCACATAACTATAGCTGCAAATGACTGGCAGTATTGTAAAGCACGTTGATCACATGGCAGACAAAATACATCAACCGAAGATTTGAAAGTTTTCTGGTCCTCACCCTGAATTTTTTTTCCAGTACCTGTGAAAGTTTTCTTTCGAATGAATATAAAACAAAAAAAAAAAAAAAGTAAATTAGTAATCTTTTTTGTATGTATGTCGATAAGTAATTCCAGAAAGCTGAAACAATTGATTAGAAATATCGGTATACTCTTTAACAAAAGCTGCACTCATTATAAACTGTTTTGATTCAAACATAAAGACGTTAGCTGTTAGAGCTGTTAGATGTTCTCCTAAGGAGAAATTAAGCATCATAAGGTTTCTGGACAAAGGATAGATATTCGATATCATAAAACTTATCATCAAGATCTGAAGCTAACGAAATGATGGAAGTTTTGTATCTCTCTTAAATTTTAACACAGATAAAAAACGAAATAAAACTGAAGTGCAACAAACGGGTATTTCAGAAAAAAATCAAAAAAATTTGTTTAATTTGAATTCGACATCGAATATAACTCAACTGCAGTTGTAATGCTAAAGATGGGACACCGGAATATATTATTTCCCTTTTCTTTGAAGCATGTTGTATATAGTACTATAATGTACCCACAGACAAACTATATCCTAGAAACTACTACGAGGAAATTTAAAATACCACAAAAAAAAGTTCTTTCTAATTTCACCTATTTGTGAATTGCAAAGAAATCCCACTAAGGAAACCAAACATAAAAAAGACCCTAAACTAATAAATATAGAAGCGTAACGGAATATTTAATTCTAATGTGAATGTTATTTGGCACTAGAACAAAGTAGTCCAAATAACTGAACGAAATTTTTAACTGCAATTTCAAAGTCAAAACATTACTACATCTAGGTAAAGAAAACTAAAAACTAGCACTACTGCCACTGATAATAAGAAAAGCAAAGCACTGTTTCTTGAAAAATAGATATCATGATGAACGGATGGTTTGAATCTTGTTGCCGCAGACTATCATTTTTACAAACACTAGTTGCTGCAGCGATTGCAAGAATAACAATGCTTGTTAACTTACTAATAACATTTCAAACAAAATGATGTAGATCCAAACATATTATTTCACCAGCCCATGTTAACACTTCTTTATGTCCCGTAACTTATAAAAATCTTAATGCAAAAGTATGAATCGAAAAATTCACAACAAAATAGTGCCGGGAAAGTGTATGCATTAAACAAGTGATATAATTACCTGACATCAATCTCCGACCTGAGATATAAACATTCTGTGTAGTGCGGGAATTGCAAATAATTCTTCCACTTTTTACTCTTCCCTTTCTTTTGACCGCCACCTAGAAAAGGAAAAACAGAACAATGATGAACATTTACCATGAACTGCTTTAATTTTTGTCTTAATGACTTAATCGCTTTTTCAATGGTAATCAATAATCGATATCAGATAAATTTTTTGTATAAAAGTTTCTGGATTTTTATGTGGTTGAAAATGACTCCATTTCTTATCAGCTTCATTCCCACATTGTGGTGTGATCAGTCGCTTATTAGATTTAAAAAAGTTCGAAGAATAAAAAATATATGGTATAATGTGCTGCAAACAGGAAAACCGAGCGAATGAAATGATATTTTATGATAATGAACCCAATAAGGTACTTGAAAGCAGTATTGTTAATAGATTCTTTCTAAAGAGTAAATCGAAGTGCAAATATAAAGTGCATGGTATCTATTACAGAAATGCATTACCAGAATTTGCCACATATAGATAAGCATTATATGAATGCGAAAAGGACTTAAAGTTTGCAATTTAATATAAGAAATCAATTTTAATCTGTTCTCGACCAAATCAATTCTTCAGTTACAGTGTTACCACCAGACAAGAACACTCCCAAACTATCATACTATTAATTTACAGCATTTCGCAGGAATAAATGGTTGATTTTGATTTTCAAAGCATTCATTTACATTTGCCTAGTGTCTTTGCAAGTCTCCCTGGTAAGAGGCACACTTATGAAATCTTTTTCTGTAAATATACATTAAGTCCAGCAACGTAAATCGCAGCTATTCTAGTAGAAACTAGAAGTTAGACGATTCCCACACACATTTAAGATATAAGACCATGTAGAAGTGAATTATCGCAACATCTTTTCAGTTATTCGTAAGCCAAGCATATATGATCAGAAAACATCACTTTTTACATAAATGATAAAAACAGAAAAAAAAAAACCATCTTCATCAAATTAATGAACTTAAAAACGACCTACTGTTTTACCTGCACATGTGATAAACCAAACTCTTTGGACTGAACATGTAGCATAGTTACCGTCGCTTACCTAATCAGACTTGAATATTTCATCTTGAATTCCAATTTAATCAAAATTTTCATTTACACCAAGCACGGATAAACGACGGGAGTAACTATGACTCTTAAGGTAGCCCAAGTGCCTTGTCATCTAATTCGTGACGCGCATGAATGGATTAACGAGATTCCCACTGTTCCATACCTACTACCTAACGAAGGGGAACGCGCTTGGCAAACAGAGGGGAAAGAAGTCACCCTATCCAAGATGATTCTGGGGGAAGAAAATGACAAACAAATAAAGACTAACAAATAATACTTGAGACCAAATTTTTTTATTCTTCCAAACCAATCGTTTCCCTTATTACTAAGTGTTATAAAAACCTATTCATTGATAACAGATGTTAATATTGACATAAGTCTAACATCTAATCAAACCTAATTGTGGCTTCGCCACTTAACTAAACATGACAAAAACGAAAGATCTGGCGCTCTTGGAAGCAAATATTATATACACTAACTCATGACTGTAAAATTTCAGGCCTCGAGTACTCGCGATTAGTTTGAAAAGTACTAAAAAGCACTGCATGTGTTTGACCCTGTAAAAAGACCAAATGAAACCATTCCTATACAACTATGAATTTTCCGAGCATTTTCAGAATCAAAACTGTGCACATGAGTAATTTCAGATCCTTTTTTTTCTGGGCACGACTCCCGATTCAGGTCACTCAGTGAATAAGCCACATATCTTCGTGGTATATTTGCACTGAGTTGATGCAAAACCAAACTGCAACTTTGAATCGTGAATTTATCAGTGTAACTAAACTCAAGTATACATTTGTTAATCAAAGTAATGACCATACTTTTACTAATTCCTGTGGCTTAGAAATTTATGTGTCGAATTCGACGAAAATTTTCTGACATTCTGCTTTGCATGGAAATAATTTCCCAGTAAAAGTTGTTGAAAAGACTGATAATAATCGACTAGTATGAGTTTAGGTAAACATTCAGTGCAAATTTGTGTCTTTATTCGTCCAATTCATGAAATAAAGACTGAGAGATAAAGTATGAGTACTGCAGAGGGAAGAACAAAACCTTTTTGACGATGAAAAGTCAAAATAACGACTTTCAGACTCATAAAGCATAACTTACCGAACTTCCTCGCTTTTCAAATTTGCATTTTATTCTTACTAACTGTAGAATCGCCCACGCTGAGTTATATGACAACTTTTTTGTAGCAATAACAAAATTAACTCTGATGATTGCCTTCATTTCGTTATTCTCAACTTCAGAATTCCAGGAACAAGTGTATGGTTGATGTTGCGAACTGCCTTAACTTTTGAAACCGAGCATCATTCCCGCAGTACAAAAAAAAACGTAAAAAGAATACCGTAATCGTTATAAGGGAACATTAAGCGGGCTAATGCGCATTAAACTAGTGTAATGTAACCACGTTTGTCTGAGGAGGTATACTGATATCAGAAAGCAAATTCAAGTTTCAAAAAATGTAAAAGTTATAACTAATTTTGCGCCAACCTAAATACAAATAAGACGAAGAGAGGAAGAAAATTGCTCTTGAGGATTAAAAGTATTCAATTTGGGGGTAATGTAATAGTTTCTCTTTAATATAATTTCTACACAAAGAACTAAATAAATGTTTCTGTAACTGCTGAAGCATCCTGATAAAATCATCACGCCTCAATTAGACAACACGACAAAGGTCCAGGATCACATAGTATAAGTGATTATGGGAAATAATTGTGAACAACAACGACAATGCTAAGTCAGTTCGACTTCCTGATCAGTGCAGACCGGATAGCTGGCAGGTTCCTATCAGCAAAGCGAAATGAGATGTAAAAAGCAACCCTTTCAAATTCAGTAGAATACATCGTTTTTACGAATCAATTCTTGGGTACGGATAAAGCGATTTGAGAAGCATCATTAAGAGAAGCATGTTTTATCAACAAGTGAAAATGCTTGAAAAATTAGAAGAAGTAAATCGATCAAATCTAGTACGACAATGGTAGACGAAATAATCAAGTATAAATTATTGAAGTGAATAACACAAGAAGACGGTAAACTTAAAAGAAAAAAAAGAAGGACAGCTTAATAGAAGCACAGTTGTGGAAATTCTTGATCTGAAGAAATTTTGGAAAAACTTAATGGAAGTCATCCTTGCATGAAACTCTCACCACGTAAAATTTGTCACAGATGCACTGAGGCATACACCTTCCTGCAAACTAGGTCATCCAACAATTTCTCTCATCGACTATGGAAAAGGAATTTCTGGCCGATGGACGCCATATGAATATGGATTCGGCACGCCACAGAGTCCCACACAGGCATACGCTGCAAGTGATGGAAAAAGGAGGAACTGTGGAAGTGATTCAGGATGGAATTGAAAAACAGAAAGAGGAGATAGCTTACTTTCTCGAGCCTTGATATAGACAGTGTTGGCGACGATATTCTCGATCTCCATGAAGTCACACTGCAATTACTGCAACTCCATTCGTATCATCCCCAGTTTGATGCAACCCAACAGCCGCCGACCGCAACACTCCCTATTCTTTCCTCTCATCATGTCACTCTCTTTCTCCACTCTTCCTCCTTCTCTAACAACAGTGCATTTTTGAGTCCCCAAATATTTCTTTGAATTGCAGCTGCAGCACTGCAGTTTCACTACGTTGCTTTAGAAAGTATAGAGAGTTTTTTTTCCTTAGGCTTCGTGTGCAGCAAAATGATGAAGAATTATTATCTGCCGCATACATCCATTTGTTCTTATTTATCGCAGAGCAAAAGCGTAATCGATTTGGCTCTCGTCGTCTTGCATAGAATGTATTGTCCAGCATCATTGCAATATGCCAATGGCATGCAGCGTATACGTATTCAGATATTAGGAAGAGCATGAAAACAGTGAGAATATGCAAGACGTCGGTGAAAAGATGAACGGCGTCGCTTCCACCTCACTCTTCCATGTAATTAGGAACTTCTAATCACGTACTTCACGGTGGTTTCAACTTTATTTTAATACTTCCTTTCAAAGCATTCACATAGAGGATATATCTGATACCGTAGAAATACCGTAGGAAATGTCTATCAAGTTTATCTTGAAAAAACTAAAGTGTTTAATGCGGGTTAATGCTTGTTTACTCGTGCATGGAATAATGAAATAGAATCTTCGTTCTATTTTGTTAGTTTCCTAATCTGGGATAATGCTTAAGAGGGGCGGTGTGAGATCAATCTGCCCTACGATTCTCCATTTACACAGAGATCATTTCGGTAAATCAGCAGCAGTTGCGAGCATTCTTTAAGTAACCTCATAAAAGACTCCTCTCTTTTGTTGTCTTGACGTCTTATAAAATTCCCAACTAACGAATGGATGGATACACTGAAGGGACGACTCTCACTGTTGATAAGCCTTTTTCAGAGCATGCATAAGACGTAAAAATATGCATTTGACAGTAACATTTTCACCGGGAAGCATTTTATTAGAACACAGAGTTGCTGAATGTTTATCATGACTTCAAACCCATAGCTTACGTTTATCAGAAATTTCAAAACAAAAGTGGGCAGTGATCGTAGAATGCTGCTTCTCTGTCTCTCTCTCACATGCCTTCCTTCCCTATAACCTTGTCACATTCGTCAACGAAGTGCTCAACTGGGATGACCAGATGACTTCACCTTCCCACTTACTAGTAAATTTTGTTTATTTCGAAAAATGTAGCACTGATATCTTCGCGTGGGAATGGAAAGGGATATGTTGTCATTATGCAACGCTTCACACTGCCTACATCTTCTGTTCTCTGATAATGTCTGGTTTGCTGTGGGTGTAAACAATTTAGTTCCTTCCTCTTCCCTAAGGAAGATGCTTCAATGTTCTTCATTCGCACTGTTTGCGAAAAGGGTGCTGTATTCGCTCTCCATCTTCACATCTTTCTAACCTTTTATTTCTTTTGTGTTTGCACTTCTCTAATTAAACCAACATAGCATTTATGGAATATTTATTCATCTCTCTTTTTTTCCTTTTTTCTTTTTCTGCCTTCCACGTATAATCACAAATAATGAACTTACTTTGTAGAAAGTCTTCATGATTACTAGGCTCGTCCTTCCCCTTACTCTTTCTGCATTATACATTCATTATGTCATTGTGCACAACTTCCCATGGAATTCACTCCCTTATTTCATTTATAGTTTATATGCTGCAAGGCGAGAATAAAGATATCACGGATGTGAATAGGTACGAACAGGTATAATCGATTAAGTATCCCTTGTTACCTAGTGATTCAGGCTTGATACTTTGGTAATTTCTCCATATTTTTAGTTCATAGGCTGTCCTTTCTCTCGATACACTTATTATTTCATTTGTTAATCATCGATTCCCATATGATTTGTTACTTTCGGCTTTGAAATTGGTTGCATTTGGAGCAGATTTTCAAAACATATTTGTTTTTTAAGATAGCAAAACAAATTTTTTACGACAGCGATTTGCGGAATAAGTACAGGAGTATGCTGAGAGGAGTCATGAGATCATTTGGGTAAAAATAGAAGTTAAAAGTTAACACGACAGTGTTTGTTTTTTACTATCGTTGTATTATACAAGGTTTAACTGCAAGTTTATGCAACTCACAAAATATCTTGGGTCGGAATTCCTAGAATTTCTCTGCAGAAGTTCTGATTATTGTTTACTTGATGGTATATTTTATCGTTCCTAATGAACAAGATACAAATTATTCCGCGTTGTTATAATTTCCAGGTATGGTTTAAAGGATTTTGAAGTAACTTGTAAAAACAGCAATTCATCTATTTCGCCGCACTGATTATGTGGCTTTTCTGAATTATGCTCAGGTGTATGTTGGTAACACAGGTTTGTCACTGCTTATGTTTCTCCAGTTCTTTCGTTTTGCATCATTTTAAATAACATTACTGAAAATTTGAAATGTCAGTTTTATTCTGAATTTGCATTATATGAAAAATTTTCTTTATTTCCATAACTAATGAGGTGCATAATTTGAAAAAGGGATCAGTTCAGGTTGAGCCAGCTTAGAAATAGGTTTTTTTTTTTTTTTGTAATCTTGTAAGCAGTATCTAGTTATAGAATATCTATATTACTTTAGGTATTGTAAAAACAGGATCAAAAAATGAAATTCTTGTATCGAATTTATTGCCGTATGATTATGCTATATGGTATGCTGACTGGATCAAATAATCTGTTGGTTCTTTTTGCAGATTTTTTCTTCAGCTTAATGTATTAGTGTGAGCTGGAAGGTACTGTGGGCGATTTATCCGTATTCTGAGCATATTCCTACAAAAAGCTCTTAGAACAGTGAAAATTTTTGTTTTGTCTATATTATTTATAGCTGTTTTTAAGCAGTTTGGTGCCGTTCTATTGTCTCCCTCTTTTCTGTCATCTATGTATTCATATTTCCAGTCCTTTAATTTGTCCACAATAGGCGTACATTAAAAGAAAAATACTCCTGCACTGATATTCACCGCTTTCTAGAAATTATCGTTATCACTCTCATTAAGTTTGACTTCTTTCAGCATGCTGCTATATTGATGCGAGTGGAAATGATCTTTGCAGCTCATATGCATTGGCAAAGCTTTGTTTTCGTACATTTCATTATCGCTGTGAAGGAACGAAAGAATTCTGAGAAATTGTCGTGTGTAGATACCTTTTAAAAACTGAGTGAAAGGAGGGAGAGAGAAAGAGAGTATTGTTATAATTTATATGGAGGATCGTATTTATTACCGAGCTACAATGGACCGGATAAAACGAGGTTCAATATTCCCTTTACCCTTTAAAATATTTATTGGTGGTGAGTTGATATCTGTATCTGTAATAAGGAAAGTACTTTAGGACTCGATGTTATATTAGATCGCAAGTATGAACAAATCCAGATATTCGGGGAGGCGCAGGAATAATTCAGAATCGTAGGAGAATAGATAGCATTCAAAAAAAAAACATGTTTAACATCACTTCTTGATGTTCCGAAGGAATATAAATGAAACTGAGTCTATCATGAAAATTCGCTTTAACACTCTAATGTCATTTAAATTTATGGTCCTATGAAGTCAAGTCCATCACATAATATCAGTTTCGACCATCAATAAGCCGGTAATACGAGGTCATAACTGATCTTTACCAAAACAAGGTCTTTTTCGAAGGAAAATGTGATAATATTGATGAATAGTCTGCACTGTTTCTTTGCTTTAATATAAATATGGTGTGTATTGTTTTTGATGTCGTAGTTATTGATGTATTTTTACTTATGCTATTTGACCTCTTCCGTTATGGATCTTTATTAATATTTTGCTTATATTGATGTTTTTAGGATTACAAAGTTAGCTGTTTCGTAATATTTGATTAACTCAGAGTTTTTATGAAATGTTCCATAATACTGCTATCCTTTCTAACATTTTTCCATTTTTTTTTTCTTTTTTTTTTGATTTCTCACTATTTCGAAGCATACTTACCTGTTCTGTTCATTTTTTATAGAGCTAGAAAAAGAAAGTGGTGATTTTTCATTGATTTCAGTTTGTTTTTCAAAGTTCGATATCTTTATCTACTATTTGTAATTAGGACAAGGAATTCTGGAAATGAAACTTATTTGTCGCCTCGAATGGATTTTTTGTTCAGTCAGTTAGCATAATTGTTTTAAGGTGCTGAAAGTGATGAAAGAGTGAGATTTCCTCATATGGATGTTAATTCTAACGCTAACGGATTCGATGACTGTATGGTAAAACCTCAACGTGAACCACTTTTATCTTATGCTGATTGGTTCGTGTTCTACAGTTTCCAGAGATTTCGAATTTATCTACTACTTTGATGTCGTATTGATAACAGTATAAAGTACCGTTGCTTCGAAATACGAATGAAATAGTATATGATCTGGTGAATCTGCTTATTCACTGCGTAGTTCAGCTACACTGGAAATGAAATTTGCATTTTTTTTTTTCTTTCGAAAAATTTTCTAGTCATTTTATCAAGAAACGTTCGCGTAAGGAGCGCAACAGTGGCACTTTGAATAACACTTGCAATATTTATTTTTTAGAAATGATGCATTATTGCAAAGGCATTGCTTTATCCATACTTTTAGTATGAAGTTAACTGAATTAACGAGTCATAAATAAGTTTTTCAGGCATCAATGTAATGTTTTTATTAAGCCAATAAATATTTTTATGTGAAACTTTAGAAATAGCTTTTTGTTATAGTGAGTTACCAGAAATTCCGAAAATAACGACAAGTGGGCAATATTTTGAGTTTGAGCAGATCGCTAATGGAGTTGATGGATACTTTGATGAAAATTCGGACACAGATGATGAGAATTTCGGTGACATTGAGGTTGGCGATACTCAATTTGTTAGGTGGGAAGTACCTATTCTGAATGGTCGAAATATTCGTTCTTTTTTTTTCAGGACAATTCATTCACATTTGATATGTGCCGTGTGCGACGTTTTCGACGTCCATCAAAAAGTCCACCTGAAATCTATCCTCGTAAGAGGTTAGGAAGTGGAAGAACCATGCAGAGCATAGATGTGAGCTTCTGATTCATTTGTTGCCGTTATCACCGGTTAAATGACATTGCATGCGGATATTTTGTTCTGATTTAATTCATCAAAAGCTCGTCCTAGTTAGTTTTTAGTTTATGACAGTGACTTGTAGGCCGATGACATTTGCAAGGAAGTGGAAGGACTAGATCCAGAAGATGTGCTCTGTACTGTCCGTGAAGATTATACAAGAGCTCCTCCTCTTGCTCAAGAAGATGATTTCGATGATGTTGATGTGTAAAATTTACTCACTGTCCACTTATAGCGATCATGTTTAGAATTACGGTGTTTGTCATATTGCTTCTGACTCATCCATTATTATTAACGAGTCTGTGTCATTATAGCTCATTTTACTGTTCTATTTCCTCTTTGCTTTATTTCAGGATTGTGCTTTGATTTAGTTGTTTCTTCACATAGTGCACCTGTTTTATAGCTTGTGTCGATGCCTTTGATAATTATTGTGTTTTTGTAAATTGCGATGTTGTTGCGTAAGAAGATAGATTTCTTCGTTATAGTTTACTTTTCCATGTTAAGTGCCGTGTAATGCTGCCGTTTCCTTCTTGCGCATAACATAGCGGATATGTCATCAGTTTTGTTCAAGTTCCAAAGTAAGATTTGTTCCTTTATAAGATTCACTGGTTCATTTAGTAAAACTGGTTTGTGGGATGTTTTTTGTCATATTGTCTTATTATATTATTAATAGAAAGTTGATCCCTTCTGAAATACAATGAATAATTTTTTACTGTGCATTATTACCTTCACCTTCTCTAAATTATTTTCAACGCTGAAAGGACCTTCCATTAGCAAAAGTAAATGAAAGATGTGGGTGTCTAGTTTATAAATGTGCACACGATCAGCCAGGACATTTTGGATGTCATAACAGAACACTTAATCCTGAGCTCTTGGAGATATCATATAGGCAGGTAAATGTTATTCCTGTAAGCTTTAGACTAACCCGACCTGAAGTTCTGGATTACTTTTGTTTGGGCCAGAAATGATTCCCCGAAAGCTTAGTCTTTACTTTAAAATGTGGAAAAATCCGTAATAAGCTGTAGCCAGACCATAGGGACAATTGATATGCTGAGTACAAAGAGTGAAAGCAAGGATTAAAGAATAGGGGGTGAAGTCCTTGCAAAGCTTGGTATTATGTAGGAAAGAAGGAAATGGACGCACTATAGACAGGGGAAATTTGTTAATTGTCATCAAGACAATTTTATCTAATGTCGGACAAATTGCACGAATCAAAAAACATGGGAAGGAAAGATTTACATGAAAATCAACGATGCAAATCGGTAAAACAGTTGAGAGAGAAGGTTAAGAGGTAATAAGTTCATTTAATGGATTTTACGTTGTTTAGGTCATTCTGACTTACAGTCTGCGGACTGTTCCTCCCCGTTGTGATCATTTGGATCGCTTTCAAATGGATTCCTATACAAATGCAGTGATGAACCACAGGCTTTCGCTGCTTCCGCAACTGTTTGTTTGCTCATCGGAATGACATGACCATTAAAGGTTTTATCCGGACTTGCACCTGAAATAGTAAGTTCTGACATTTATTCGAATATCTTATTAACCAAGTTTTTTTTCTTGACTGTAGGCAAATGTCGAAGTACTGTTCGGATGCATAATTCAAGCAAAATGCACAAAAGAAACAAAAGACTTTCACGTACTCAAATGAGCCCTCGATCCTTTTAGTAGGGGTGAACGAGACCCACGACTGGATGGATCAGGTCGAGGATTTTCCGGAGATGGATTCCGATTTGGAGGTTTTGGTTGCAGGAATGCGTGGATCCCTGAAACTATGAAAATCTTTTTAAATCAAGTTGAATGAATTCATTAATCTAGTGATGACAAAACAAACCAAGTGGAGTATGTGACTGTGCCCTGTCTGAAGCCATTAGAAGCACCTGTCGTTGCATGGAGAGCTCACGCAAATGGCGTTGACTGTCGCGTACGCTAGCATATTCTTCCAGTTGCCGTCTTAAAAAATATTTTCAGTGAATTTCATATAAAATTAACGTAAAGGTCACTATTGTAAAAAAGTAAAAAGAAAGCATACTTTGGCGTCTTGTAATCCCTCCAATGTTGACCTTCACGACGGCCAAAGAAAATAAGACTTAGAAGAATAAGTAAGAGAATACAACATACACCCAACATCGGGAACATCTAAATAATAATCCTTAACAATAGCTTCCTTCTATACAACGAACTGACAAATTCTAATGATTCAGACGAATTTTTTATAAACAGCTCACCAAAAATGATTCCCAAAAATAATATCTAGTGTGCAACACAGGAGTTTCCACTTTCAATATGGACGAGGTAGATGGCTGGTATTGGTGGTAGGGAGTATGCATTGTTTCTGTGTCTGGTGTGATTACCTTTGTCGACCTTTGCCGGAGCCCTGCATCGTTACTATGAATAGTTGGCGCTGTTACATTTTTCTGTAATAACTGATAACATTTCAACTATGGAAGATTTGTTTGCCAGGATAAACTTCTGAAATCTTTTTAAAGAAAATGATTTCAAAATGATTTCTACAGTCCTGTCTGGCCATTCAGTGTCAAACAGCAGCCATTACTTTAGCCAAGATATGGCATGAATTATCTTCTGAAAGTACTCGCAATGCCAACAACCCTCAAACCATCTTGTTTAATCTAATCCAGTAAACGATTACCACATGGAAATTGCACCAATCAATTTGAAAGATAGGAGCGAAAAATTTGTTCAATGGTACAAGCTGATCCCTACTGCAATATTGCGGATTCCTTTGCAATCCACGTTCCAGATTCAGTACATTCACATGAAAGCGACTTTGCGTTCCAATTCGAACTATGCTGCTTAAAAAATTCGTTTAAATGAACATTTCATCATGGTTAGGAAAAATAGATATTCCAATAGCATCTATTGTTTTGTTAATCGAATCTAATTGTTATTCGGTACTGTTTACAATGGTAGCTACCCAGTACGGAAGTGTGAAAAGTTTACCGAACACACTACAGCTTACCCAACTTTATGGCGTAAATCGAGATGGGTATTTTGAGGTGACAAGTTCCCAGCGGCTAAAATCTGGAATATATATGGATTCAGTCCTTTTCCCCTGAATGATTCTGTCATTGATTTCTTCAGCCGATCAATAGTTCGAGTGCGATCAGTTAAAAGATCCTCAGGATCGTAATTTTTTATGTAAATTTCGGCAAACTGTTGTGTCGCGTTATTGTACTTTTCTAAAAAAAAAACAAAAAAAAAAAAAAAAAAAAAAAACGCATTGGACATCTAGAACAGGCATAGGGATACGGCTGCATGCAGATCGAATTACGTTTGTATAGACACCATCCATATCTTACCATTATCATTCAAAAATATTGTTATATATTGTTCCGCTCTATCGTAATTATCCAGTCGTCGAGCAATAATGTGTATAACAACTTGATTGAGAGGAGAGACCACAGTACCATATAAGTATCCAAGTGCTTTGTGCCTAGACGGCATCAAATGCAACCATAATGGCAAAGCAGGGCGGCCATGTAAAGAAGCTGACCATTTAACATCAACTACAAAAACACTGCCTTCATTTTCATCTCCTGAAGTGTTTGCTACTACACTTTTTAAAAATATCCCACCTCTCGTTATTGAAAAAAAGTACTACAAGCTATCGAAAACCTAATAAAGAGAATAAAAAATGAGCGATTCGGAAGTTGAAAATAGTAAACATGAAAAGCATATGGAGGACAAGTGAGAAGCCATCACCTCATTAGCTGTTATTGTCCATAAAAATTATTTACAGAAGAGATAGGAATCTTTGAAACTTACAACTGCATTTATTTGTTTGCTACATTTCTATTAATCTATTGCAGGTTCACATAAAGTATAAATGAGAATAAAATCTTAATGACGATATATTGTTGATAATATTACAGCAGATTCAATTCTCTAGACCACTATTTTTAAATATGGGTAAATTAAATTAAAAATAAATTACCTGTTTGAGGAAAAAAACTACCGGAATGAAGTGTATAAATGAAAAACTCTCCTTTCGTCGTTCGTAGTTCGAGTGGGTTTATGGTTCGGCGATACTGGGTATAGCAAAAATTGAAGAGTGCAAATAAGGCAATGGATACAAGCCATCTAATCATGATCACAAATCTGTCGATAACTGTGTTATGAAAACTTTGAGCAATGCCTGAGAAAAAAAGAAATAAACTACAATGACAATCACTATGAGTGATCGAATACTAAATTACCAATTACTTTCAGTTCGAAACTTTGTTGTTCAACAGAAAAAATGAAAATTTCGATTTGCCTAATAAAATCCGTACCTTATTTGGATTCCTTCATAAAACAAGTTGATCTCTTCCATAGACTCAGAAAAGCGGGAGTGGATGATTTGGTCTCAACCTTTTCATTCATTGATAACCAAACCGAAAACAAATCATTGTTTCCTGAATGATTTTTCATAATATTGCAGGCAATAAGAAATAAATTTTACGTTTAAACAATGACTATGTTTAGATTCCATATCAAAACAGCAAAAACAGGTGATGCAGCAGAGATGATTACAGCACATCTGGAGTTAGACTGTTGCATCAGCGGCTCCAACAGAATAACAGCGTGAAGTAGCAGTTGCTCAAGCAATGCTTCTTCATCTTTTACACTGCCTTCAAAATAATTCGGCCTGAGAAGACGCAGCTAAGCTATCTCTCGGCGCTAAACAAAATTGATGATAAGCTTATGTTTAAAGCCTCTGTACAATCCCCAACGGAAAATCTGCTAGTTTATAGGAGGCTTGAACTTGGGAAAAATAAAAAACATGTTCACCGACTTTTGGTCAAAAAAATCACTGCGTAACGAGTATTGTACGACTAGCATTAACAGGCACAAATCTTTTCATCTTTTTTTTTAACTTAAAAAAAAGAAAACAAGAAAGCAAGATGGCGAGTGGAATTTCAGCTTCTGTAATGACGTGATGAGTAAAGGCTTGGTCAATTATATTACCTTTGAAAAAAGGGGAAGTTGGAGTTGCATTTAGGCTTCTATAATGTGCATCTCTCCAGGAACACAATTCCGGATCATTATTTCCTTCTAGAGAAATAATTTGTGGAAAGATAAACTTTTGAAACGTTAAATCCGTATGAGGAAATAAACGAATATGGAATCAAGTCTCTTAAGAACTAATAGTTTTTGTAATTCAGAAAGCCCCCGTATCCAATGAAAGGTGATGGTTTGCAGATTACACCATATTTGAGTATTACATCAAATTGTGATGTGTATGCAAATTTTTTTGCGGTGTGTATCCAATCAATATGCAAATTTGAACACACAGAATCACGCATAGACGCGATAAAACTTTACCAGGTTGTTCATTTCCTTACTCTTTCTTTACCTTTTTTTTGATTTTAATCAGACTTTTAAAAAACGTCAGTTGTAATATTTGATATATTTATTAATGATATAAGCTACTTTCTTATTACTACCACTTGCTTTATGATTCTCTTTCATCCAAACAACTTATTTCTCGAAGGCGGATACGCGGAAAAAGCTGTGCATAAAATTTCAGGATTATCCTCATGATCATCCGTCAGAGTTCACAAATCGGTCATATTTTTGTGTATCAAATTTTACGAAACGTCCCACTTCTTCAGCTCATGAGGAAATTAATTTTTATGGAATTGTCAGAAACAAGGAAGAAAACACTCCAGCAGTTGAGCCTATAAGCTGTGCATAAAGCCTATAAAGTGATTAGAGAAAAGGACCATAAAAAAGGATACTGACACGCAAACCTAAATATAACAGTCTAAAGTAATCAATTTACTATTGATGGCGGCAAAAATAGAGCAGATTTCTAAAAGTGTATCCATGAAGGAGTATTACAGAGAGTTTCTTGACTAACAAGTTCAGGTAATTTGTCACCATCTTCAAATAACCCGCCACTATTTTATGGCGGTATACCTGTCATATCCACTCTGTACGGTCCATTCCGTCTGATTAAGATAATGCTTCTGTTCCGGCGACATACGTTCACCTCCTGATACAGGGATTTGAAAGGAATTTCGCGGAGGTGTCACACTTCATTCCTGAATCTCTCGAACCTCCCCGACTCTCTTTCAATTTTCCACTCAGTAAATGGTAAGGCTGGCCTTTCCGAACGAGCCATAGTTTACCGGTGACATATGTGGTGTACAATGGAGTCATGGTGGTTGGAGTACTCGTGCGTGTTGGCGTGTGGTAGCCGAGTGTTTCCGTGCATATTCATTTTGCCGGGTTGATGTTTATGTATTTCTAAAACATGGAGAGATGAAGCGAAAGAATGTTAGGGAAGTCGATTCGGTCAGAAGTGTTTATGTTTCATTTTGTGGACAACTGGTCTATTCGTTGGTCCATTCCGGCCAATTAATGCTTTTCCCTCCTTTAACCATCTCGTAGACAAGCCATTTATCGTTTGCAGACGATCGCACTAATGTCTTTTTGTTCGGCCGACAACTTTTCCTTCGATTTCGACATAATTTGGTGTTCAAATGTGTTCATGCATTTTTATTGATTCTTTTTGGTCATGTCCATCCATTTTTGGTCATGCCCATTTGATTATCTCCTTTCCGTTCAGGAACGTGTCCACAGTGATTCGACCCGAATAGTCACTAGAAATATCCGTTCTTCATCTGGACCATTCGTTATCTGTAAAGATGATTTCGTTAAAATGATACGGAAAATACTTTCCAGGACAAAGATCTGGAAGTTTATTAGAGTATTTTGCTCTTACTGAATTTTCTACCCTAATCATTGGTCGCTCCTATCACTTCCTTCCAACAGAAAGGAGATATTGCTGTTCACAAATTCGACAGACTATGTTTTCAAGTTAACGCTGAACTGATTGTTTTTACAGGTGTAATATCAGTGCTTTTTCATCACTGTCGAAAGTGAACAAAAATAGTAGTGTATGGTTGTTTGTTATCTTTTTAATTTTGGGATTTTCTTAACTATTGCTTTTGGTTATTTTAGAGTCCTTTTATAGAAAAGTTGTTATTCCCTGCAATTGGTATAGGAATAGTTTACCACTAATACTGCTTCGTGAATCTGTGAATCTAGTATCCACCCTGATATTTGCTGTTCTACTCTTTTCCGTGTGGTTCTTTATTAATACTGGATGTTTTGGATCAAGAAGGACGTTGAATGGTCGAAGTATTTCCTCCGTTCTGATACTCAGTTATTTTGTAATCCTCTTTGTTTGAAAGAACTTCAAGATAATGATGTAGTCATAGACAAATTCCTCGTTTGCTGATCACTATATTCAGTAGTAATCATCAATGGATATCATTATTTATGCTTGTTTACGTCATGATTTGTCTCATTTTCCAATCATCATGGAATCAGTCCAGTAAAAATGTTACTTGTAAAATCAGATCGTTCTTGCTTCATCCAACATCGTCCTGTACTGTCTCTTCGCATTCTGGACAAAGGAGTTTACTCCTGATTAGTAATGTATCTTGTGGTTCACTGCCGGCTCAAGTACCACTGACCTCTCTAATTTCACCTTTTTTTGACTGGTCAAGAAAATTTCCAGTGAAAGATTTAAGATATATCATCAAATGATGTTTTATAATGAAGTATTTTGAGTTCTAAGTTTTTTTTTTAATAGACTGATGTTCATTGGTTTGGATAAGTTAATTCTAGTCAGTGACTCTAAGGGAATGACTGGTATGGATAAAAGGCAAAGATTTTTTTCATTCTTGAGATTTATCGAGAAAAAATAAGCTTGTTTTAGGAAATCGTAAAAATGACTGGAAAGGAACGCGGCAAGCGCATCAATAAAAAACCTCTGCATAAGGTGTTTTTGTTATACAGAACGTTTCAAATCCTAGGAAATAAATTTTTTAATGTTTGAGATTGATATACAGTTTTGATTTGTAGACGACACCAATGCAGTTCTTTTCCACGTTTTCAGGGGTTTTCAACTGCCTCATGGGAAGATCGTTTAACGGACAATGAAAAGGAAGATGATGGTAACATCACCGACCCGGAGTTGATTGCTGAAAAGGAGTATGCTGTGGAAAATGGTACTGAATTCGACATGAATTTGGTTGGCGGGAGAGGCCTTGAAATGGAAGTTGGCAGTGGAGCTGGATGTAACTGTTTGGTTTTAAACCATTAGTGGTATTGATATCTTCAAATCCAAATTTGCTTTGAAAAGTCATAGCTTAAGCGTTGCAAAGGAAAATGAGTTTAAAGAAATTAATGTATTGGGAACTACTTGTAAGAAATATTTTGATCCGCATAAGTCAAAAAAGTGTTATGATTGACATAATTTAAGTAACTGTTCACTAGTTAATCTCTATTATTATTGTTACTCTTTTGTTCGAAGAAGGGTATTGTAGTGCGGTATGTGTTGAGCATCTTTAATTAGCACATAATACTATTTCAACATTTCGTTTTCAGCTAAATTTGCGGATAACGTGAAGAAAAATGCGATGATTTCTACTAAAATTAAACAGGCAAAGGCGGACCGCAAAGCTCGTGGGCGAGGTGTTTCTGGAAGCATGTGTAAAAAAGAAAAGGGTATTTCGTATGGTAACTCTATTTATATTTCAAACTGTTATAATATTTTATATGTGTATAAAAGTTTTCTGGTAATCATTTTCCCTGCTGTCGTATAATACCAAGGGTAATATACTCGAATATGGATGCCGAGGAATATTGAAGTCAGACCAGCAGTAATCCAAAATTTTTGAATTTCTTTTATACCACTTGTGATTTGCTAACAGTTTCAGGTGGTTTCCACACGCTCATGGATATGGACGTTTACTATGGATTAGATAATGATGAATATGATACCTATATGTCGGATACCGATGAGCCCTTTAATAGCCACGAAGAGGGCATTGCTCGCCAAGGTACTCAATTTAAGTTTTCTTGTTATGTTGTGTGGTAAGATGGTTTCCCAAATCTAAATGGAATCGGAAATTGAGTTTATTTCGGAAATTTTTTTTGTGCTTTTAGAAAAAGAGAAGGCAAACCAATCGGAAGCTGATCTCATTGAGGACATGAATCAAATGTTTTTGAATGATGACGATGAGGAGGAGGTGACATATATTTTGTTCAGTAATCTTTTACTATAAACAAATTGTTGAGAATTCTGTTAGTCCTTTCGTCTTTGCTATCAGAGATTGAAATTTTAACCTTGTTAGCTGCACAGTTCTTTCTAAAGGTTACAGAAATTTGTTGAGTGATAAAATGATTGAACTTTGTTTGTGCATGAAAGAAGGATATAGAGATATACTCTCTGTGCTTTTTAAAGTGATGGATGTAAAGTTATTAGCGCTTCTGATTGTAGGATGATGATCGCCCAGGACCGAGTCGATTGTATTACCGAACAGGCGATGGTGGTAAACCAAAACGCCTCTATCGCATGTAAATCTGCTGGTAGCGAAACCGCAGATTCCTGCAGTTGATTACAATGTTTTTTTCTCTTGTTGTTTTTGTCGGGTACTATGTTAATCTGTGCTTTAATAATATTGTGTATATTTGGTTTCAGCGATGATTCCAAGAGCATCGGTATCTGTCGTTGTTATTGAATTGAATTCATTCCAATTATGTATAAATTGCTTTCCAATATATTGTTCTCCGTCGTGGATGCACATATAAGAAGTTTTAAGTTCGCGCAATATTCGAAGTTTGTGTCAATGTGTATTTGCTGGGTCTCACGTGAACCGCAAACCGTGGATAAGTAGGGTTGTCCTTCAGAACTCAGTGGTCATTCGCTGCACGTTTGTTATGTTGCTTAGGCGCGAACCAAATCTAGAGGAGTGACAAGTAGCCCACAATTTCTACCTCAAGATGTGGGACAGAGTTTTCATAATCAGTGTTGGATTCGTGCAGACTAAATTTGTACTGTCGCGATGTGCAACTATATGGTATACTGGCCTAAAATGGTTGTCGAGAAGGTTAGGAAGTTCACTTGGTACGTGGTGTGGTGGATGGGTTGTGAGTGAGGAGAGATGGTTGGTGGGACTGGGTTGTGTGGTTTTATGACCGACTGTACATACCAGATGTAATCAAAAAGTTGGGTTGTATGTTGCCTTATGATTACATATGTATGTGTATATATTTCTTTGCCTGTAACTATCTTATTGTTTTTATTTTGTTGATTTCGTCATTTGAGAGCTGTGTTTAGTCATCTTCATTAAAGAAAGCTACTCTATGGGAATTTTTCATGAAGTGTAACGCCTTTTTTTTTGTGAAGGTTTAAAAGTTTTTGTTGGTAATGACATTATCAGTGACCTAACGTTTCTTCGGAATACTTTCTTGCTAAAGGTGTCACATCTTTTCCGAAGTAAGAATGTTCGCAGAGCTAAGGTATCCCGTTGTTAGGAAGGATGGAGTGATCGTAGTTGCAGCAATTTTCATTATATATTTTGTTACACAGGTGATAAGGAAAATGGTTGGCGAATTCAATAAACGTGGGAGTGGTATACACAAAAGCTTCAATTCGCCTCGAGGTGGGTCTACGTCACGTGGAGGGAGTCGTGGCAGATTTTCGACACGAGGAGGTGGGCGTGGCGGTATATCACCAAGAGAAGGTGGTGATCGTAGTGATTTGTCTAACCGCGCTCGCGGTCCCAGAAAAGGTAGGGTATCTCTCTGTCTTTTCTTTAAAGTCAAAATATAATTGCTACATCTTGGATTATATAATGATGATTGCGTGAGACAGACTTTTATTGTTCAGGTTTTTTTTTCTAGGTGTTGGTCGTGGTGGAAGAGGTGGTTGGGGTGATCGTGGTGGAAGAGGTAGTTGGGGTGGTCGTGGAAGAAATGGACGTGGTAGAAGTGATCAAGGACGAAAAGGATTTTCTACGAAAAACGAACGTGATATGGATTTCAAAAAGCGAATGAGCTTTGATATGGATAACAGATCTGGTAAAGAAATAGCTTTAAAGAAAACTTTATAGCTTTGGTTTTTGTGATATTTTTTCCTTCTTGAATTGAAGCGCTTGACTTCTTAAGCAAAACTAGTCTAATAACAGGAATTTCGTGGGAATGTGTTTTGAAAGCAGTCTTCAACAGATATCGTAATAAGATGACGGATATATTTCGTAGTTTTGAATTTTATTTGAAACATCTGTTTAAGAAAAATCAGGTGGAAAAAAGAACGAAAATAAATACAAGAAATCAATGTCGGAACCATCAACTCCATCAACTGTGAAGTTTAAGAAATATGAGATGAACAGTGAACATGATGAGGATGAGGTTATCCACTTTTGCTCCATTGATTTTCAGTTCCAGGTTTTGTAATAGAAGGAACTTCAGTTAATTTATCCGGTATTTACTTTTGTAGGCTACTGTGATACGTGACAAACGATTGTCATATATATATAGTTTGCTGATGTTTTCAATTGATTTACCCACCTGATTTTGCTTAATGATACATTGCTTTTCAGGTAATGAGCACCTCAGATATCGAAGATCAAGAAATAAGTAAGTTCTGCTTTTCGGATTCGCCAAATATGGAATTGAAAGTTACATCTGGCACATTTAAGGAATTCCAAACTTTCTCTTAACTTTTTTTTCAGCTCCAAAAACACCAAAAAAAATTGCTGATATGACATCGAAACAAGAGAAAACACTTACATCAAAGAGTTATTCGGAATTAGTACAGATAATGAGTAGTGCTAAAGGTTTATCGAAAAAAAAGGTAATTTTTTAGAAGTTTCTGAAAACAATACAACCTGTCTCTTTTTTGACTTGGGTTGCGTAGAATGTATAAGCCCTAATTTAAATAATTCGCCAAATCCTTTGTTGCAGTTCCCTCATGTGCAATTTTTGCAGGGTGTGCTTAAACGAGAAAACGGTAAGGAAGAGGATGAAGGTAAAGTATCTTTCAATTCTGTCTTCTCAGAATTTTATTTAATTCACCATTTTTTTTTTTCAGGAGAACATGTTTAGAAAGTGGTTCTTTGCAAATTTAAAGTTCTTAAGAACGGTTTTGAAATAGGGCTAATCGGATGTAGAAGATTTTCATCTATAAATTTGAGTCAGTTATCACGCAGATCGGTTACGAATCCTCAATATTCCGTTTACCAAAGTCACCATGCAAACAACTCGGCATTACTGGATTGTTTCCACATTTATCTGTTTTAAGAGGACAGAGGATATAATTCGTTAATGCTCTGCTAGTTTTAGAATTGGTAGTAAGTCGAGATGTGAAAAAGGCTAAAATAATCAATGTTGAAAGCGACAAGGACAATGGAGTAAGAATTTTTATTTGTTTTTTTTTTATATATGTGCTCCTGATGTTCTGTCTCTGAGTTGTCTGCGATTATTAATTTCTGTAATTTTTACAGGAAGGAAGTGATTATAATGAAGATGAGGAAGAGAGCAGTGATGAAGGTATTTTATGAAGTCTACAACTTTCCTATACTTTCAGTTGTAATTCTCATATTTAACATGACTGCTCATGGCAGATCGTTTCCAGTTGTATGTAGCAAAGGAATAGTAAAAAGCTTTATTGATTTCTTATCGACGATGATGTCAGCTTCACTTTTATTCGAAAATACATGTGATTAGCAAGAACTGAGTCGATACCTACTTCCAGAGATAAATTTGTATTAGCAATTAATAATTATATGGCTGTTTCGTTTCAGTTGTGTCTTTGGTCGGGGAATTGCGGAAGTTTAAATATGACAGAACTACAGTAGGGGCGGGTTTTTTTTGCATGATTATATGTCAGTTTAGAATGAATTTTTTTTAGGTTCAGAAGGCGAAGTTGTTAAGAAGAATGTAAATGGCGTTGCTGAAACGAGTGAATCAGACGAGGATGAAGATGAAAGTTTGGAAGATGAGGATGAAGATGAAAGTTTGGAAGACGAAGATGAAGAGGAAACACCTTCTGACGGTATTCTATTACTGCTGCGCTTTATTGACTGTTCAAATAAATCTGTTTGTTTTGTGTAGAGCAAATTGAGTTACTCTTTTTTCAGTAAAACCAACACTTAGTTCCACTCCTGGCAATACAGTGCCTTTGAAGAGCGCACTTAAAACCCCTTGTACTGGGAAATCAAGCAAGAAGGTTTCACTTTCAGCGATAACTACAACCACTCCAGAAATACTTTTGAAGGTCTACCTTTACTTTTTTTAAAATTTATTCTAGTTATCAATAATGTGATCTTAGTATATAATGCAATCATTTATTTGAAGGCGGATTCTTTTGTAACGCACTAAAATTCTAGAATAAAACACCAGCCACACCACATCCTCAAACAATGTCGAGCAAAAATAAGAGACGGCTAAAATTCGAAGAATCGGATGAAAGTGATGGGGATGAGGAAGATGATGATGAGAAAGATGAAGGGAGATTTAAATTGGACAATAGAGAAATGAAGTTGGTAGAGAACGATGATTCAGAAGATGAAGAAAGCAATGAAAATGAAGGGAAAGATGACACGAAGAGGACAGAACTTGCTAAAGTAAGGCAAAACTGTTATTTTTAGTTTGGAATTGTGAAAACCAACAGTTAACCGATATATTTCATTCAAATTGGCTGCTCATTTAGGGAATTTGAAGATTAAACCTCATTTCAGGGATTTTGATTCAGCGACCTATTTTAAACAACTTTCATTACATCTGTAGAATTTTAAATTTCAGACAAAACGAGAAGGAACCGTCGAAGCAGTTAAGAACAAAAAGGACAAAATCAATTTAAAGAAGTTCCATAATAAAAATGACAAGGGAACTGAAGAGAAGGTAGTTGTTTCTGAAGCTTAAGTATTTTCTGTTCTTTCTAATTTGAGTCTATTTCACGAAATAATTTCTGTTCATGGACGACATACAGTCCTGTCATTAGAGAATCAGTGACTTTATTAAATTTGAACTCTTTTATGTAGGCTGTGTTTTAAAAACCTTGCCAATGAAAAACTGCTATTCTGTTCAACACATTTTAAAACTTTTACTTTTTTTGTTGTAAAGTTCGTGAGGACATAAAAGGTCAACGATTTGTAGGAATATTTATCAATTCGGGACTACTATGCTAATCATACAGTTTAGTTACTCGTAAATGGACCATTAATAAACTATCATGAAATGGAGTTAACTTTAACCAAAATATACTTCTTTTTATTCAGTTAGCTTCGCAGAAGCAACCGAAAGCGATAGCTAATAAGGATGAGATGAAGGGAGTAAAAAGGAAATATGAAGATGAACCACTGTTAAAGGTATGAGATTTATTAGTGAAATCTTTGCATAGATACAGAACTCATGTCAAACCAAAGTGTGCTTATGAAATAATTCTGGCTTTCTGAGTTAAAGTGGGTACAAATGATGTGTTTAGCCGGAGGATGCAAAAGAAGTGATAAAAGAAGAACAAAAACGACGAGATGAGCGTGACAAGAAATCATTATTTGTGCGAGGATTACCCAAAGACGTAAAGTTGGGGCAGTTAAAGGCCCTTCATAATGACATTCTTTACGTGCGTCATATGCCGCATCGAAAGTAAACTTTCATTAATTTTAAAGCTTTTCATTTTTTTATTTTTTAAAGTGTAAAGCTTTCATTGTTTTTTTTTTTTTGTTTTTTGTAAGCTCACTTTGAGGAAATTCTTATCTGGTCAGTTTGTGAAGGATATATTCTTGAACAAGAAAAAAATTCAGCTTTGCATGGTTAATATTTGCAAGTGAAAAGCTTTGTGAAAAGGCTTATGAGGATATATCAAAGCAAACTGTGGAAGGCCGAACACTTACTGTCGACTTTTGTGGATCAAAGGCAAAAACACGTCCTCAAAAGGATAAAAGTCAATTGCCCATCAATCCCCTAGAGCTATTTGTTGGCGGCTTACCACCGTCAACATCCAAAGATCAGATGAAAGTTATCTTTCGTCAAGCGACCAATATCAGTTTTCCGAAGCAAGCAAGAAATAAGAACAAATTGTAAGTCAGTCAGTTCCAGAATTTAGTCTTTTTGAAGTTTTGGGAGTTTTTTTTTTTCTTTTCTTTTTTTTTTTCTTTTTTTTTTTAGTAAAAGAGTTCTACTGCATTCAGAATGTTTCGGTCCTCTAGCGGATTTGCTGATTTAGTACTAAGAGAAGGGTTTGTATTTTTTTAACATGAATTTTCAGATACTGCTTCGTACAGTTTGGTGATGAAAAGGAAGCGAGAGCAGCATTCGAAAAAGGAAAAACACTAAAGATTAGCGGTGTACCGGTTGACGTTCTATATGCTCGGATACGCAAAGGTAACGATTATCATTGTTGTTCAGAGTTTTTTTATATAACATGTTACCCACTTTACGAATCTTAAGTATTGAAATCGATAACTGAAACTGACTGTGTCATAATCAAACTGTAGGGATAACAGATGAGGCAAAGCTACCGAAAACGAACCAAGCTTTCAATTTGTCGAATGGAGCTGCAACAAAGTCGAAAATAAAAAACTCACCAAAAATAAATGAAACGAATGGCGATACGACAAGTGAAGGTATTGAGTCCTCGGACGAAGGAATTGAGGAAGTGGTTTGTTTTGTTTGCTAATCTAACATCAGTGTTGCTTGGCTCACTTGTTTTTTATTAATTTATTAATGTTCTGAAACACTGTTAGCTTAGATTTAAACAAATTACAACGCAATAATTACATTTAAATGGCAATTTCTTTTGCCTGCTGTTTTACACTATAAATTTCAGGATGACTATTCTTCAGTTTCCAAGCCCAAGAAGGCGAAGCTGGCTAAAGCAAGTAATTCTAAAATCCTGCATGAAATTGAATCACTAAAACAGAAAAACATTGAAACAAAGGTAGTTTCTGGTGGAGTGCTTTGTAAATGTATATAAGGGTATTCAAATGGGTTGCTTTCCGTCGCTTTTGACTTCTTGTTTTTTCTTTTATTTACTTGTGAAAAGCTAATCAAGCCAAAATGTTCATCTTATCTATAAATTATTTTTAGTGCGCAACGGTACCTATGAAATCGATTTTGAAAAGTTCCACTGGGAAGATATCTGAACAAGGCAAAGCTAATTTAGAGAGCAAGTTGGTCTTCGATGAAGATGACAAGGATAATAATATTGGTGATGATGATGATGATGATAGTGACAATGATAATATTGATGACGGTGATGATACTGATGATAATGATGAGGAGGAGGAACAAGATGATGATGATGATGAGGAGGAGGAGGAGGAGGATGATGATGATGAGGAGGATGGTGGGAATATGGAAGATAGTGATGGAAGCAATTAAGTGGCAGCTTTCGTTATGAAGGGTGAGATGAATTATAAAAGTACTTTTCTCTGATTTGTTTGGACTTCCATTATGTAGTGAGAAAACAATGTAGAATCGACTGAATGGCTGAAGTGTTAGGATGCATTTTGAAATTGGGTGAAATAATGATTACTTCGTTTGTGTTTCCTAGAGCGCGGTGAGGATGGGACTTCTTTGTGTTTTGTTCAACCTAGTGAATTTAATGGTACTTGATCACAATATTTCCTGTGCATCTCACATCCTCCATAAATCCGCTGCTCAATATTTGCTGTTTGATTCAGAGCCGTTTTTTATTCTCACTCATATTACGTGGTATTTTGTCATGTTTGTTGCTGCATGTTGAAAATAGATTCTGATACTTTGTTGATATTGAGCTCATTTTCCTTTTATTTCGACAAAGTAAGGGATCATCCATTTGTGGATTGGATATTTTAGATGGAATTCAGCTAAGTGTTTTCGATTTTGTTCGTGTTAATGCTGAGTTTAATGAGGCCAGTCTTAGGGTTTGATGGAGTTGCAAAGTACCTAGTGGAGAAAAGAGGAAGAAGTTCGTACTAATATCATGATTCTACCGAAGTACCTTCGGGATGTCTAAAGTTGAGGATGTCTGTGAGGGTTTATTTTCATTTCCAATAGTGAGAGACTTCGAATTAGGCAGATCTGGTTAAGGTGTTAGTACGGTACAGAGCCAGGTTTTTGAAGTCAGATTTAGCGGGGTTTGTATAGCACATACATATATGTTAGACCCAATGATGTTGGATAAGACATCCCTTAAGGAACGAGATGCTGCGCTAGGTTACTGGTCAGTTTTCTGTATGTAAGGGACTCGGAAGTTCGAATTGATTCGAGGAAGTTCCGGTCTTAGTTAAGGATTGAAGGTGTAATGGAATAGGAATTATTTCAATGCAGTTGAAAGTTCGAGATAGTCCCGATAACATGGAAGACCAGTAGGGCGAGCAGTGTATTTTGCGTTTTTTCATATATGGGTGACCTGGTACCAATGTTACAATGAGGTGGTCTGTGCTTGTTTTAGCTTAATTCCACAGAAATGTTGGGGGCGATTGCCATTTTGCAACATGATTTCTATCGTTTGCAAGCTTGAAATTAGAGCTTTTTATGTATTTTTCCGGCAATTAATTTATGCCCGAGTTTGAAAGACATCTGCATTGAGGTTGTTATGCAGTGCTACATTGTTGCTTTTTCCAGTGCTTTCACAGGTTCGCTTTGATTTGTCCATACAGCTTTCACAGCTCTCTTTTTAGCCGTTTGATTTTGCACTTGTACTTGGTACTGCCTTTAACGGTTTGGAGAGCATACAATGGAAACAGTTTTAGCATCGAGGACAAAAACGCATTAATTTCCATCCCACTGATAGTGCCAGAGTTCATATTCTGGGTTAACCCACGATGGCATGAAAATACATGTATATAAACCCGGTTGTTGGAAGGAGATGCGGTTGGAGGAAGGACGTGCGGAATTCCGTACATTGCCTATAGCGAGGGACCGGATTTTCTGAGAAGTACTAATCACTGGTGTACAAATGGGACATGGGAGTGTTTGTGAGAGAAGCTTTGAAATCAGACTTTCGTCTTTTGGTTTAATTTTACCTTATTTACCGTTGGTAACATCTCGATGTAAAAGATTTGACGAGATAACGGTATGGTGGGGTTAATGCTTTTCATTGATTGGGATAAATGTGGATCTAAATGAATGTTATATGTATTAAGATGTTTCGTGATCACGGTAAGCAGATTTTGTGGATAAAAACTCTACGAAAATGATTGCCAGTACGGTTAAGACATAATTGGCTTTATTGACTTTGGAATCATTCCTGCTTTTGATATATTTCTGAAAATTCGATGGTGATCGGTGACTCTTCGTGCAAGACGAGGTGCAGAGGCCTGCCTTGTAAATAAAATCATCGATTTGCATCGGCGATAAGAGTTCTCCCCTACTGACTGCAATGGTAGTATGTGAAGGGTATTTGACTTACGTTGTACCACTGTGGTGTTCATCACTATCGAGGAATTGTTACCGGCCGACCGGTACAGTTTTCCTGCATTATGCGCTCTGCTGATGACTTCTTTGACACTATTCAGTGTCAGCCGTTGTACACTTGAGGATTTTGTGTCGTTATGACAGGACTGTTGTCCAAGGAAACCTTGACCATAGCTTACATCACTCATGCTGGTCATTGCATTTCGCTGGAACATTTCCATTTTTTTTTTTTTCGTTCATCATGGATGGTTTCAGTCGAATTTGCCTTGCAGTATTATTTATGTTTCAGTCGTTATTAATGCAGGCCAGAGATTGCAAGTGTCATCGTCTGGCAGTTAGTCTTAACGAAACATTAAACAGCATAAATTTTGAAGCCGACTTTCGAAAAGCTGTTCAGTCGTTGACTGCTGTAAGTAACCGCTTTGATCAATTATCCGTTTCACTACTTCATGAGCTTTTTCTATTGATTATCCGGACTGAACGTACACTACAAGTAATTATGGTTATACTTTGTGATGTTATAGGAAGAATATGCTAAGGCTGCAAGATTTCGTTATAAGGATGATACGCTTGCTTCTATATTAGGACGTCTTTTTCTTCGACAGGTTTTTTCACTTAATTTGTTTATAGGTGTTTTATTTCAGATTTAGCAGTTGGTTTTTTTTTGTCACTATATATAGAGACACATATGTAAGAACATATATATATATATATACAAGAGGACCCTTCAAGTTTCTAAATAATATTATGTAGGCCACAAGGCGCTTGTCAAATGTGGAATGGAGTACGATTGAATTTGGACGAACAGAAAAAGGAAAGCCATATCTCATAAGTCCAAGTAATACGAAGTATGGCTTCAATGTGTCACACCAGGGAGATTATGTAGCATTCGCTAGTAGCTGTTCGCCGAAAGTAAGTAATACTTGAGGTTTCCTTATTTAAGAAAAAAAATCATTTATCGCTGAGTGCATTATATTTTTAATATATTTTCGTAATGAGAACGTTTCAACAGCCCGTTCGTTACATGCTTTTGGGAAAAACATGCTGAATTCATCATTTCAAAATAACGGATTGATGAGAACAATTTTCAGGTTGGTATAGATTGCATGCGGTTGGATAAAGAAAGAAATAATAAATCTGCTGATGATTATATCACATCAATGGCAAAATCAGCTGGTCCGGAAGAGTTAAGAATGATGAGGACCCAAGCAACTGATCAAATGAAAATGATTTATTTCTATCGGTACTGGTGCTTGAAGGAAGCAGTCCTTAAAGTTCGTGTAGAGATTGGTGCCTTAGATGATAATATCATATGAGAATCCGAAGTTCCTAAGTTTACCTAAGCTTTATAGGACTCGAGGGTATGGAGCATCTCATAAGATTTATACGATCTTCTAAAATCTTCTAATTGCTAATATTTCTTCAATATTAAAGTTATTTTAAAAAAAGTGCTTTTTGCATATATTTTGAAATTCCAGTGAGCTACCGGATTTTTTTTAGGCAACCGGAGAGGGATTACTGTCAGACTTAAGCCGACTGAATTTCCATATTGAACCGAGAGAACGGTATCGACCGAGGTGTTTCATTACATCAACCACTGTATCACTGGACGGTAAATTGCAAGACGAATGGATTTTAGAAGAAACATTCATCGACGAAATGCACAATGCTGCGGTAGGTTTTTTATGTTTTTTTTCCTTCTTAAAAGTCATAAAATCATAAAGTCATAACACTCTCCATCTACCCACTTATCCACCTGCATTGCCTGAGAACTGTTTTTTAAAGACATTTAAATGAAGTTGGTTTTAGGTCTGTCGTGAGAAGCGGTTGCCAAACTGTTGTCTGTATTCCGTAAATCCTGACACACGAATATACTTTGGTCTTGTCGATACCACTTTCTTACTCGAAGGCGCTACTATTTTAAATCATCTACCTGAGGACGGTGCTGCTGAATGGGTTAATTTTAACGCCAAACCAAGAAAGCTTTTTTAAATGGTGGTAGAGAACTTATACCTTGTTTTATCCTGCAATTTGCAATAACCCACTTCCCTCCAAAAGTCTTTTTCTTCACAGTTTTATAAATACACAAATTTAACTATGCATTTCTCCTAGCTTTACAAATACATCGCCTGACCACGGTGCTTTCAATTTCCTTAATATACTCATTTAAATCCAGGAAAAGGTACAATGAAAGTGCACTAGCCAAATGTAGTACATGCATATACAGTTAAGTACTTGTTTGGAAACATTTACTTTTGCTCAAAAAGATGTTTCGTGAGCATTATTTCATGAAAGCTCTCACAGTTTAAAGTGGGCATTCCCTATTAAGTCCAGTATATATGCAATCTGAAAAAGCACACAGAAAAGCCTTAACCGGATAACAAACGCAACTGTTGACGGCGTGCAAAAAAAAAAAAAATCCAGAAGTCACAACAATAATAGTGGGATATATATTAATCAACTTATACTTTACTGGAGTAATATGAGCTTACTTCTCCAAGATTACAATTTCAAATAACTAGGAAGTTATCCAGAAAAATTACATGTAGCTAAAGAAGAGTAATTGCGACCCGGAAAACGCTTATGCGAAGATAATTTTGTCATATTGTGACATTAACAAGTGGAACGAATAAGTCAAATCAGACAGACGACATGAAAAACTACGCAACTGAACCAAAAGATTCAGTCTTTTTTTTCAAATATGCTTCATATTGTGGGCTTTCCTTGAAAATTCGTATTTTTCGCGCTATTCCCTTGGTTGAGTCACGGAAAATATTGCCTTGATCTTTTTCCATTGCCTTAAAACAACTGATGTAACACTATGGACTCAGTGTAAATCAAGCAAGTTACTTGACAAATAGTTGATTAATTCGGACAAAAGATAACTGTAAACGAAAATTACTAATGGAACATTGTGAGAACAATTTTCTGAACTAAAGTTAAATGTAATGGTGAAAAAAAATTACCTCGTAGTCTTCTCCATGTTTCTCAATCATGTGCACACAAAACTGAATGTCACGGGGTAAAAGTTTGCAGATGCGATCACGAACTGGAGGGACACGATTTACTTCATCCGTTTGTGATATCAGTACTGATTTTTTCTCAACATTCATATCATATTTTGCCTCTTTTACGCAAGATATTGCAGTCATACTCTATAATTTTAATTATTGAATTAGGTTGAATAAGGGGAGATCTGAACAATATGCATCTATGATGTATTTCCTAATGGTCAATTTTAGAAGCTTCGATCCTGGAGATGCCTGCTGTGGGTAATTCGTAGCTTAACAAATGTAAACATATACAATTCTTCGAAAAGACTAGTACAAAAGGAACTTGAATCATTATCACTTAAAATCGTAAGATGCCGGAAATGCTAAATTTTCTTTATACTTTCTTTATAAAAGTTTTAAAATATTCCAGGAGTTTCCTTAATAAAGTGCAGCAACGAACCCCGCTAGCATTACCACTCAAGCTGAGATTTGGATCACCCAATGGCTCCGAATATTGTTGTGCCAACTTTCCCATGTTTATATCTAGCTCCTTCGGAAAGGATGTCTTCATGACCATTTTTGTTTTCCACAACGTTTCTGAAACATTTCATAAAAATTCAAAATAGATCACATAACACCAAGTAAGAATCTCACATTTTAGTTTTGCTATCTGAATTTCTTAACCCGAGATTGCTGGGAATTCCAGTGCAGGAATATCAGTACTATTATATATTCAAATTATTGGTGTCCCCGTGCTTCATCAAACCATCTTTTTCATTCACCATTCGATATTGTTTACTACATCCGCCAAGTTAACACGTAAAATACAGTGATCCATTTATCTAATGAAAACGGCTATTGTGGAAAGCTTCATCTAACAGCTGAAAGCTAAAAAGGTTGCATTGACGAAGTGCCTAATTCATGAATCTATAACTAAATAAACTCCCTAAAGTATATACCTGAATGTTTTGGGATTTTACCACTGGAGGGCGTTATATGATCCATTATCTTTTCAGCCTTAAATTCTTTGCTCTCCTCGGTACAATTCTGATCCATTGCGAGATACACTATAGACTAGAAAATCAAATCAAATTAACTCCATTCACTCCATAACCAAAGATAATAAAAAATCAAGTAAGAAATTTGAAAGAGTTGCAATTATAAAATGTATTTGACTTTTAGTAAGGAACACTTCTTATTTTGCATGTGAAATTGACTAGCAACAATAACTTTTTGCAAACCTTATTTAATTCTTTAATCTTTTCCTTTTCTGAAATATCTCCCTCTTGTTTCGTAATCTGAAAATAAAACATGAGATCTAGAATTTAATTTTGGAATCTTAAATCTATATATGCGAATCTGTAATCTGTGTAAAGCAGTAACAGTACATTAACTAACTTCATTTATGAATATATAAGTTATTCCTTTTCTAACACCAACAAAAATCCAACAACTGGAAGTCATGTAAGGCATAGGCAAGTAAGGGAACAAAATTCCAAAATAATAAAACATACACCGACGAAATCATGTTCTAACAAGTTAGGAACTGATCGTCGATTTTTTTTTCTCATCTGTTCCTTACTTGTTCCTTTAACTCTTCCTGCACTTCCATGAATGTCATTCTGTTCACCACCGTTTGCTGTCTGAATGAGTATTGACTGTTTAATCTTCATTTTCATTTCCTAATATTATCTTTCAAAACACATAAAAAAACACACAAAGTACTCAAAGTCTACATTGTTTCAGCAAAAAACAAAACAATGTTTCAAATTATTGGCTGTCTTGTACCAACTACCACCACAATTCTATGATCATTGTTCAAGATGAACTGACCTTTCCCGTTTAAAAAAAATTTCTTTGATCACAACCTACATTGCTTCTGGCTCAAATTCAGCATATGTGTTCATTTACCATTGTAATAGTAACAGTACGTTACTAAAAGAAAGAGAAAGTTCCCGAAAAGACGATGAAAGAAACAAGGAAACATCACTTTAACAACAAGAGTGAACCCGTCCAAAGTGAACGTGCACAGTTAGTTTTTATCAATACATTTTCTTTCAAAAAATCGTAAACAGTGCCTACTTTAGCGCTACTAACAACGGAATTTTGGTCGACCTCCTAAATGTGATCATGTGCTCATCAAATTCTTGTGCATTAAAAATTCAAAGACTTCATACCATGCATTGTTTTAAAAATCAAATATAAAATAATGTTAGCAAGAAACTTATTTTTTGTTAATACAATTTCAAACATGAACCCAATTAACCACTACAAAACTTGGTTTGGGAAGTGCAATCCTTATTAAAAATCATTTTTTTCAGTTGAATTCATTTTTCTTGATAAATCCCCACAAATTATAAAATTCGCTTATTCATTGTTTTCTCCATTCCAGGAGCTCTGCAACTATTAAGTGATCTTCACGAGGCCTCATATTTGGCTGATTACAATAAAGATAGTCCAATCTTAGTGCTCAGCCTTGAGTAGTAAGTCATTAAGAAATTCGATGTCGGGATATGTAATCGGATGTGTTTATGTATGGTATCAAATAGGAATGTAAGATACCAAGCAATTTACTATTTGAAACTTAACAGATTGCCCAAGCCTATAAAACGATCCAATGCCATCGACGAATCCTCGAACGGTCAAACGGCGTGAGATACTTAACATTCTCAGATATTTCCGGGTATGATATCTCAATATGCATTAATCTAAGAATGAGTCATAGGCATTCACAGGAAAGTGGAACATCCATGAATCTCTTGGTGCAAATATTATTGAAAGAACCAAATGTAAAACCTGCGGAAAATATGAAAATGTTCCCAAAAAAAAAAAAAAAAAAGGTTAGGCAATAACTGCAGGAATGAGTTTTATATGATGTGGACCCCAAAAATTTTCTTTATGTTGCTTAATTTGCCATTCTTACTCGTAAAATAAGCAGAAACAAATCATATAAAGTACGTTTAAATCAATGTGCTTAAAAAAGAAGGTAAGGACTACAGCGAACTTTAAAAGTCACCGTTGACATGTAAACAAATATCCATGAAATGAAGAAACATTTTGGTAAGAAGGTAAAAGAATTCTGCAATACACGCTGAGACATACTAGTATTCTACTAAAATAATGAAGCTTATCCTGTGAAATCTTCTGCAAAATTCTGATCAAGTAATCAACACACTTATAAACTTTTCCCGCTTTCAAGTCGTATACCTAAGCATAACTTGTTTATAAAAACTAGTAAAACGTGTAAAATCAAAAATTTCACAAGTAGTTATAAGTTCTAACAGCGTAAAGAAAACCATATCCGGGTACTTTTTACGTTAAAAAAGTAGGGAGGAAGAGAAATTTCCCAAACCATATATTATGTACATTGAAAAAAAAAAAAAATCAAGATCACTGGCAATCTAATTTATAGGCAGGTTACAAAAGAATATCATTAACGCTTTCGTGAACTTACTGTGGGCAATGGACCATTTTACATTGAAGGTACGGCAGTACCACTATTGGGAAACACTCTACGTTCGGTGAACAGGACGACAAGAAAGTCCTAGTAATCTCAGTGAAATACAGAGGAACAATAGCCATACAGACCGCAACAAAAAGAACATAGCTGTGGCTGATGATTAGCTAAACTTATAATGAAATGAAAAATGACACTGTACTTTGCATAAAAAGTACAAAACTAAAGTGCAACTGAGTAAAAATCAAAAATTGTATCTTGTTATCCCTTGCTTTTTTAATGATTTCTTCGATTTACCCTTTTTTCCGATGGTTTCTTACCAGTTTTTTTTACGGTTTACTACAAACTAATAATAATTACACAAAGGATGGGAAAGCATAAGTTATGCTATAGTAAACACTAATAAAGAGTATCTTCAATATGCAATATCTTTTTTTTTTTCATAAAGTCCACACTTTTGGTAACCATCTTCTACTACCTATCCATAGAACTATAATGAACACAATAATTTGTGGTATAAAAGTATTCCATATTTCGTTTAG